TATTATAATAATGCTCATCATAAAAAATTAGTTTATCTATTATACCACTAATCATGAAAAACCATCCCAGTAACAAGTTACTCTTATTCATCCCACCTAGATTTTTGCAAATAGATCATCTCCTAAGTCCTAAGCAACGAGAATCCCCACTTTGAAAAGCTATGTACCTACCAGGAAAGCAAACTCCAAGTTGAAAAGGCTTGCTGCACTTGTCTTTGAGTGTTAGGGTGTACAACTCAACAATAGTCTCATAGCATGAAAACTGCATCACCGTATATGGAATCCCACATCTCCATAGAGGAACCAGCACATTGTACAACCCACAAGCTCCTTCAGATGAGACATATTGTGGATTTGTGGATGCCCATCAGCCAACCCCTAGCAAAACATGGCAATACACATTGAGGTACACGAACCTGTACTGCTTCTAAAGGTTAAAGTGCAACACCTGTAACTCTGTAAGGTTGTAATCACTTCTGCTGCAGAGCCAGCAAGGCAGATTAATGTAAGAAGCTTAAATTACATTAATCCAACGAACAGAACATGATCATGTTTACTCCATTTGCTGATGACATTTTGACAGGAACACAAAGTCCATCTTCTGCAAAACTTCTATTAGTTTCTAGATTTTTGCAAGGTTTTCTCTATGAACTCCCTAATACACAGTTAAATATTTTTATCTTCATATTAAAGTTCTACGAATATTTGAATACTCAAACTGCAGAGCACATTTGAAGGATAAACAGAAAATTGGTTTCAGAACCTATTAATACCAACATTGTAAATTAATTTCTAAAACATCTGAATAGAATCTCCACCAAATCAAAATCTATCAAAATATGTTTGTAATCAAGCAATTCAACCGTCAAACTCACTGGATCTGTTAGTGTTTGGCCTCGAATTCTCCATAGAGAGGATGTCGATGCCGGCGTGCTTCTGAATGAAGTTTTCGTCTGCAAACTTTGACGCCGTAGATCGTTTCACCCCCAGTCTCGTTTCCCCTTGTGAAATCGCCTCCCTGGCACATGAAATTGGGGATCGCACGGTGGAACGTGAAGCCCTTGAACTGCAGCAGTTTGCCGGACTCCCGAATCCTTTCTCTTTTGTGCAGAGGGATGAAAATTCTCGGCCATCCTTGGACTCGTGTATAGGTAGGGGTGGCAGCGGGTCGGATTTATACCGGGTGAAGGCTCATCCACGTCCACCCGTTAATTTTTCATATTCCACCCACTCGTCCATCATTCATTAAAAATAATATCCACACCCAATCCATCCATCATGAGCGGGTTATCGGGTGGATCGGGTGAGTAACGGGTGAATATAAATGGCCTAACTTGAAACACAAAATAAATAAATTATGAATAGAAATAATGACAATTAAAAACCAAAAATTAAAAATTCATTGAATAATAACAACAAAAACTTGAGCAGTTAAGTATATTACAATCATTAATTCATTGCAATAAAGAAAGAACTAGTTGTCAAACAAAATAGGCATAAAACTTTTTCAAGGAGTCAAATTTTACATTTTTGCATCGGCACAAAACTAGTTTTGCAGTTCAATTGCCACTTCTTGAAACTCTAAAATTGTCTTTATTTCACCAATTCATAGATATGTCTTCTTCATTAACAAATACATATCTTTTACTCCGTAATACATTAATATTAATTATAATTATATATTAAATAGATACGAGTGTATATATATAACGTAATATGTATTTATTTTTATATGCGGGTTAGCGGGTGGGTGGATGGAGCGGGTGATGGGTCGGGTGATGGATTGGATGAGTGTTCATCCACACCCGATCCAACCCGTCTTTCAATCCACCCGTCATCCGTTTTTCATCCATATTTTTTCGGGTTTTCATCCATGTTTTCGGTTCGGGTTGACCGGATATCCGCGGGTGCGGGTGATATTGCCAGCCTTACTCGTATCGCTGAAGAGTTCCATCACGACACGGCCAGCCGGTTGGCTTCCTATGAGTACGTATATCGTACAACCGGCTGTACGGTGAGCACCGTACAGCCGGCCCAGGAACAGGCCCAAGAGAAAAATAACAAAAAAAATCGGTGGCATTTTTGTAATTAATGTGAAAATCGCGATTTCTGCTAAATGAGCATCGGTATTATGTTAATGAGCAATAGTCCAATAGTAATGAGCATTAAACGTCCAATAATGAGCACCGTGTTATTACAAGAAAGTTGATATCACAACTAAAAAACGGTGGCATTTTCGTAATATCATTGAAAATCACGGTATTCGTTAGATGAGCATTAATACACTTTTAATGAGCATCCGCCGTACTTTACTGAACATTGAGAATCGAATAATAAGTATTGTGATGTAAACTTCATATATTGTCATTCACTTTCTTTTTCTTATTTTTTCTTTTATAAAAACTCATTAAATTATATCTATAATCAACTCATATGAACTTCAATATTTGAACCTAATGTAATATGATACTTTTGAAATTTGCATCGATATGACATTATAAAAATGAGCATAACATCAATACCAAATAAGCATATGTAACTTATAAATTAGCATTGATATGAAAATCGTAAACTTTGTTCGTTGAGTGAGCATCAAGACTAGTGGCGTAGGTGGGGGGGGGGGGGGGGCAAACGGATCATGGGCCACCCCTAATGTTAAAACTCTTGAATGAGCATTAACGCAATTGTGTTGAGCATCAAATCTGTTCTTTTGAATATTAGAATTCTAAGAATGAGCATCAATGTTCTCTACTTGATAGTAGTGTATTCTAATTCGCTTTCTTTTTATTATTATTTTCGTTTATAAAAACTCTAAATTTATGTCTTTACTCAATTCTAGTTAATTTCAATATGTCTTGACATGTGCAACATTTTAAAATGAGCATAAAGAGACACTAAATAAGCATACACAACTTACAAAATGAGTATCAGAAAATTCAAAAATGCATTTGTGTGTGCTCATTCATTTTGGATGTTATACTCATTTGATTTTAACATAAAACTCATTTCTAATGTAGTATGATATGTTTGAAATGTGCAACCTTTTAAAATGAGCATAAAGCGATACCCAATGAGTGTACATAACTTACAAAATGAGCATAAAAATTTCACAAGCTCATTTGTGTATGCTCATTCATTTTGAGCGTTATACACATTTGAGTATTGTAATCCCTGTCCATAACACCAATTGAGCATACATAACTTGCAAAATGAGTATAAAAAAATTCAAAGACTCATTTGAAATATGTATTGTGCTCAAATATATATTTCTGTATGCTCATTTGTTTTGATAAATTATATTAGGTGGGGGAGGACACCTAATTAAACAAGTCAAGAGAAAGATGGAACGATCCACACAAGTTGTTCAATGCTTCAATTATATATGTTTGTGCCGTATGTGTATTATGTTAGGTGAAAGCACTAGACAAGGAAAAAGCTCTGAGAAGGACGATGACATCTAGATTCAGGAATTGTCAACACTCTCGGTAACCTAGTCCCATTCTTCAACAAGGTTTATCTAATTGTTTCATTTTTGGGATGAAAAATATAGAAGAAATAAATGAATAAATCATGCCAGAATGCTTAAATACTTATTTTATACGGTTGCTCTGTTTTCTTTGTTAGCTGTATACCAGCAATTCGCAGAAGACGGTAGGAATTACTGCCCGACTGTGTATTTCAATCAAGCACGAAGATGAGAAGAAAGGACTGTGAGTCGTTCAACCTGGCGAGGACGAGTACGAAGGAAGAAAGCAGTAGTGATGGCCTGCTGATTCGTTCATCCGATGAGTTGCAGAACATGATTTTTGGTCATCGGCTTCAGATTTAATTACAAAAATGCCGGCTGTACGGTGCTCACCGTACAGCCGGCTGTACGTGTTTTGAAAAAGATTAGTTTTGGCCGCTTTTCAGAGAGATTAGGCGGAGATTATTTTTGAAATTAAAATTAGGCTGGGTGACTAGAATTGAAAAGGAGAAAGTTTAAAGATGAAAACCGTTTTTGCCAGGGTCATAAATGATATCTCAGAGGTTAAGATGGTTCAAACGGGTAATTTCCACTTTTAATTATAGGTCTAAACCACCTAGTCCTGATCTAATAAGTTGGATTGACTTCAAAATATATTAATTTGTTACAAAATATACTAATTTGATGTTTACTCAATGTTTATCAATTATCATGGTGGACATAAACAGAGGAGAAGCAGAATGAAGATATATGGTTATCTTTAATTGTATATACGTTTAAGTCCTGTGTTGTGATATTTTTAATTTTATAGAAATTTTAAGATTTGATCTGATCTAAACTAGTCTAATAGTTGTCTATTTTATGAGTATTTTGTTATTGTCTAAATCTAGTCCAATTTATTCTAGGGAAAACTGTCAAATAGGTCCTCGAGCTTTCATAAAAAGGTCAAATAAATCCTTATATAGGAGGCTTTGTCCGGCCGTCGCGATTTGGGGTGACTCCCGATTGAAGTTAAATGTGCAATTAAATGCACAGTTATCTTCAAGAATTAATTTGAATGCGTTCCCGATTGAAGTTTTAGCTAAAATTTGGTATGAGTAAACTAGACTTGATGAATAAGATGCTCAAAAATTTTCATCCAAAAAAACCACCGGGAACCGCAACAAATCGCGACGTCGGGACAGAGCCTCTCATATAAGGACTTATTTGACCTTTTTATGAAAGTTGGAAAACTTATTTGACAGTTTTCCCTTTATTCTAATAACCTAATGTATACTCTAGTTGGTATGATGTGATATGAGATTTAAATCAATCAAATTAAAAATATTCCTATTCGGCTATTCAACTCAAATGGCTAGAAATGAAACAACTTGTCGTCTTGTATTATTTACTTGGAGGATTGGTCAAACGATAGATGAAATTCTAGTGGAAGTAGCTCAATGAGTAATTTTTTCATAATATATTATCACAATAAACTTATTTATATGACTTATAGTTATTATAATATAATCTCACAGTGGTTACCAAATGGGCTAGAAGGAAGCAAAAACTTCAACTTATTTGCATAGTTTTACACTTTTACGTACCACATCATTTTAGCTCAAGTATTTCATACATATTTCTTCAATTGAAAAACTTTAATTGTTTAGGGACAAACTTTGAGTTTTTTCCTAAAATATTACTAATCAAAAAGTGATGGATAAAAATGTGACTTGGTAACTTTTAGTGAGTATAGTTGTGTTCAAAGTTTACAACATGGTCACTACATCACAGTAACTTTGAACACAATTATAGAGTAATATTTTTGTCCATCACTTTTCAAAGAGTAATATTTATGGAAATTTTTAACAAACTTTTCCCTTTACCATATATATCTACATCATCCACTTTTTATACTATGACTGAATTTCAGAAAGATCATCTTCTATCACTTTGAAATCCACACAGGAAACCTACATCGGATGCAGAGAGGTAGGTGCAAGGACTCCCAAGGAGTTCAGATAACATTTGACTCTACGAGTTAGAACTATATCACGTTTGCCTTGTCAGCAAAAGCTAGGTTTTTCATACACAAAACTCTCATTCTAATTTTCCCTTAAGGGTGATGATAAGGGCTGCCTTGACAACAAATCCACATCATCCAGCTCAATGGGGCACCTTTTCAAGGGGCTCGATTTTCTCTTGTTCCCCTGCTATGTGAAAAAGATATTGCCAAACGCGAAGTCAAAAAATAAAGAAGGTTAAATGGGGATTTACATAACCAGAAAAAAAGAATCAGGTTCAGATTACAGTAATACCTTTGAAGAAATGTTGCCCTCTTTAAGGTGAAGTTTGATTGTTAGCTTCTTGTTCGCCTTCTCCAGAATATTGTTTTCTTCAAAAATAACTTTCACCTCATCTTCTGCTCTAAGAAGGTTATTCAACAAGTATTCCTTGTCTTTTCTCAAAGCCAAGGCTTCAGCCGCCAGAACAACAACACTGCGTGTTGATGGCCTCAATCTACTAACAATTAAGTGATTCTTTTTTAAAAGAGTTACTAAATTAAATGGACTCTTATAACAAGCACTTCGGAAAACTACGAGTAACCAACCAAGCTTTAAATGTTACCTACCTATCCCGTGATGTTAACAGAGTTTGGAAAGAAGAATCAAGACTGCTATTGGACTCTAGAAATGTTAGTGTTCTTGCTGATGGATCTTCAACTTTGACACCTATAGTTTCCAATAAGGAATCTACCAGACTTTGTTCTTCCCTACAATCATCATCTTCTCTACACGTATCAACCTTCTGTAAGAATAGAAAGTTGTACCATTTGTCAGCAAAGGCACATAATATACTGCTAAGTACTCCGTAGTAAACAAGTGTGGTTCCAATGATAGTGTGGCAATCCTTACTCATTAATACAACGAAAGTAGAAAAAAATATAACTATTACCCGTGTAAAGAAATAACATTTTTAGATTTTTTTGCCAGCTAGTACGAAGAGCACATTTTCTAGGTCAAAGCATATGACTAAAATAGTTAGCCAGTCACTCATGTTTTCACTTTCTCCTATGAGCAGGGACATACTTCAGATAGAGGGTCTCTTTCTGAGATTAGGAATGCATTCTTCTTAGTTCTAATTAGTCCATGTGAATCTGTGATGCCATAATACTAAATAAGTAAACAGATTCACCAAATTCTGCATGGTTTGCCAAATATTCAATTCACATAATCCCAGCTTGCATTTAAAAGACCTAAAAATTGTAAAAATTCACTATATTCGTTAACTTTAATTACCATCTGAGCCTCCTTTTGAGCTAAATGACGCTTATGGAACTGTAAATCCTCAGATAAGTTTTCCACCTCTATCTCTAACTCCCTGATACGATTCTCTGCAGTCTTGGCCCTTTGGTCTGCTTCGTTCCCGAAATCCATCAGCGCTTCCCTGTCGTTTTCGTATAACGAACACTCCCTCTCCAACTTCTTGCATTGTGACAACAGATTAGAGCACTCCTTCGCGAGTCTCTGATTCTCCTCCACAAATTTCTTCATCGCAGTCGCATTCATACAAGATTCCGCCTAAATACAAGTGGTGTGCGATAGAAAATTAACGACAATCCAGATATCAGATGATATGTTTAGGTTAAAGTATGGTATTTGGGAAGAAAGTGCAAACCCTAGCGCGTTCAATGATTTGGTCCTTTTCATTTAGCTTTGACCGTAAACAAAGATACTGAGCACGCAGGGCAAGAAGAGCTTGCTCGGAGCATTGGAGCTTCAACTCCAGAGTGCTTCTTGGCACAGGGGGTCCAATGGATTGCTCGGCCGATTCCCGGATGTAATGATCTGTTTCTTGCGAACCCTCCATTTTTTCCGATGAACAAAATATAAAGAGGAGTAGAAACGGAGTTGGATTGGAAAAGGGCTAACAGTCTCAAAATCGCTTGAACAGATTGTAAATGTTAGGAGAAGAACGAAGAAATGCTATAGAGGACGCTTCTGACGAGGACGAACAATGCAGGGTATTAGATGTAACATAGACTTCGAAAGGGGGAAATGCAGGGGCTAGCCGTTAAAGATTGACCCGATAGTTAAAGTGGGCCGAGACTTTGAAAGAATATGGACCGTTTGGAGACTTGGACTTAATGGCAGAGTATTAAGGCCTTGTTTCTTTCTTGCTTCTCCTCAATCTTTTCTCCTCCTAAATATGAAAACGATCTCTTTTGTTGGTATTTTCAAAAAACATTATGTAATTTCTTCTTAATGATGTTTAGGGATTGTGTATTCCTTGTCGGTGGTTCCGATCGAGTGTTGAAATTTTATTGTTGGTGATTTCAATGTTAATCGTGTTTGATGTTTTTGGAAGGTTAACTTCAGACATTGCTGATTCTGGAGCAATTATCCCCCTTTCGAACCAACGGCATTCTATAAGAGAAAGATAGCACTCAAATGGATCTTCTTTTCTGTGACTAGTCACATTGATGATATTGACAATTTCCTCTCGGTAGCTGGTCAAATTGAGGATTTTAGTCATTTCTTTCTGGCGGCTGGATAAACCATGATTATTTGTTTATTTTCTATCTCAAAGTAATTTAATATTAGTATTAATTTTAGTCTTGATTGCTAATTTAGTAGCAGAAACTTCTAGTATGTTTATTGAGGAGTTTATATCTTTGCATGAATAGTGAATTGTTATGTCCCTCTAGAACTTTCAATTATATGTCTCATCCTATTATACCATTAAACTATCTGAATTACTTTTGTATCAATCATTTTTATTATTAATAAAAAAATAAGTGTTTTCCTTTAAAAAAATGTTTTTTTCACTTCTTTCATGGCACAACTTTAAAAGTCTTTTATAATTTGAACTTGAAAATGAACCGAACTGAACCACTCCCTCCAAAACACAAATGATTTTTGCTTTGTACAATATCTCCCAAACTAAATAAACTTAAGCCGGAGGAAAACCGATTAAAACTGAACTGTAAAACAAATTGCCCACCGCTATTCGAGTATTATCAGATATTTGAAAAAATTAATCAAATCAAATATGAATAATCTTTTAAATTGGAATTCTTAACACACACAAATGCTTATCGAGTAGATATTTATCAAATTCAATAGAAATATATTTGACGCGATTCAATTGGTTCACAACCCTACTTAACCATCAAAGGAGGATAGTTAGAGGTTAATCTCTTCATTAGCTTTCTCACATTAGCTTTCATCTTCTAAGTGTGATGGTAATCCAAATTATCTTATGGTGACATCGACGCTCAGAGATTCTTGATAGGGGTATGATCCCATTGGATTATTATTCACTTCTAGTTGTGTTGATTTTGTTATATGACGGTTCTTTCCTAGGCACTGATGCTCCAGGGTGGTTTATCTCTCTCGATGTGGGAAGTTTTGTTGGCGTCTCGGTTAGCTTCGTTTGGTCATGAGTTTCTGTCTGTTTTCTTACAGAGTGCGTAGACATTGGTAGAGTCCATCATCCTCCAGAAACACCTCCGTGCCATGAAGAGTTTTGTGGAAAGACTTTATTTCAATTTTATTTTTCCATTTGTAGTAATTGTTTTTGTTTTACTTTCGGTAGATTTGGTTTGGTAATTTGGACTTCTGGCATATGTTTTATAGGCATTATTTCAGTCCCGATTGTTTTAGGCTTTAAATTGGTCATTTCGTGTCTAACGAATCAGGTTGCTTTGTATGAGGTGATTAATTCTAGGAAAAATTGATAGTAATAATCCCAACTATTTGCGGTCCGCTCATAATAATCCCAACTATTGATTATTACAGAATAATCCCAACTTTAGGGACCTTCCGCAAATAATGGTCCCTATGAATAAATTCTTGTAGTTTCTAAAGTGGATGGGGTGAGATATAACAAGTAATCCCTCTAAATAATCTCAACTTTTAATTTTTACGCTTAATTTCTATTTAAAATTCACTTTTTATAGAGGTAATATATGGTCATGGACCATTATTGGCAGATAGTCTATATAGTTGGGATTATACAAAATTATCAATAGTTGGGATTATATTCAGCGAACCGGCAATAGTTGGGATTATTATTTTCAATTTTTCCTTAATATTATGTCTATTCCTAGGGCTCACAATCGGATCTGTCATAAGTGTTTGGATGTTATCTTGTATCTTTTCTCAATTTTATTAGGGAAAAAGTGCAAATAGACCCATGTACTAACCAAAAAAGGTCAAATAAGCCCTTATTTAGGAGTTCTGTACGGCCGTCGTCATTTCGGGTGGTTCCCGGTGGAATTTTTTGATGAAATGTTTTGAGCATCTTATTTATCAAATCTAGTTTACTCATACCAAATTTCAGTTAAAACTTCAATCGGGAAGGCATTCAAATGAATTCTTAAGATAACTGCGCTTCTAAGTGCTCTGGAAAATCAAATCTAGATTTTCCCTTTTAATAAAATCTAATAAACATGAACTAAAACAAACGCTCTGGTGACCCCAACGGCCCAACTTGGACCTTATCCCTTCCACCCACTATAAGGTAGAAACCAGTCAAACCACAATTCAGCAAGTCAACCATTTCTCACGTACTATCGATGCTATCTACTCGCTTTAGATTTTTCGGACAATTTTTATTATACATTTATACATGCAAATAAAAGTGTATACCTTTTGTACACTATCTTATATAGATAATTGCAGACTTTTTTAAATGAGCTACCTATATACATAAACAACTAAAAGAGTGTTCACAAAAAATGTACATTTTTTTGTACACCTAAGTTTTGAGAATAGTATTGATTGGTATATAATATAATGTGATTATTGATACTAATTGTGATATTATAAATGTATTATTTTTAATATTTGATAAATTATCATTTAAGAGTATTAGATGCTAATAAAATAGAAATTGGAACCTTTAATTGTGGCATTCAAAAAAATTAATATTATGAATAGAACAGAGGGAGTATGAATTAATAATCATGTTTTTTTTGAAAGAATTTGTAATCATGATAATATAATACGGAATACGATGTATAAAACTAAGAACTGTGTGCTCTCATTTTTTTTCCTTTAAAAAAATGTCCCCATATTTTTTCTTCTTTCAAAAAAAAAATATATGCTCTCGATCATGTGGTCTAATTTTGTTATCTCATTCAATTTGTTAAACTCTAATTGATCCATTTACGTTTGATCCGATCGAGTAAAAATTTCTAAATTATGTATTTCCACTTGGTATTCTCTAAGAGCCCGTTTGGTAGCATAAAATCGGCTAATTTGACTGATTCTGTTGAAATTTATGAAGTTCTGGCTGAAGTGGCTGCATTGGCTGATTCTGGTGATTTAAGAAAAAAGTATTTTTAGAATATATTTGGGAAAACTATCAAATAAGCCCCTGTACTATGTCGAAAAAGTCGATTAGGCCCTCGTACTATACAAACACTCAATTAAGTCCTCGGACTATTAAAAAATGTTCAATTAAGCCCTTTTGGTCGGTAAGTAACCGGTTTCCTGGTTAAACGGCGACGACGACGACAATGTGCTCGAACCCCAGCAACGGCGGCTGCCGGGAAACGGGTTACATTTAACTGGAAACCAGATACTTACTGACCGAAAGAGCTTAATTGAACGTTGTTTAATAGTTCGAGGACTTAATTGAGTGTTTGTAAAGTACGAGGCCTAATTGACTTTTTCGGTATAGTACGGGGGCTTATTTGACAGTTTTCCCAATATATTTTATTAATAAAATAAAGAAAAATAATATATAAAAATAGCTAAAATGGTCATCTACAGGAACTTCAGCCAATACAGCCAGAAAAGTAACTGCAACCTTACTTTTTCTGCTTATTACACAATTCGGTGCGCGAAAGCAAAAATTATGTGTTTGGTGAAAAAGTTGGCTGATAATCCTGATAAGTCAAAAAACAGTGTTGCCAAACGACCTCTAAGTCCAGTTTAGTCTTATCTATTTAAACTTATTATGGACTTAGCTTTGAGTAGAGCTGTCAAACGAGTCAACCCGACCCAACCTGACCCGGCTTGTAACCGGTTATGCTTTATGTGGGTTGGGTCGGGCCAACCCGTTTAATGAGCGGCCAGGATTTCTATAACCCTAACCCAACCCACCTAACCCGTGGGTTAAACGGGTTGGCCGCGGGCCAATGTAAAAAAATATAAAACAAATTTTAAAAAAAAATAATTACCCGGAAGTATATATTTTTATTAGCAAGTAGTTACAAAGGAAATATAAGAAATCAAAATACTAAAAATTCAATACTTGTTAAGTTTAATTAAAAATATTAAATACTAGTTATACGAGAATTTGAAAACTATAAGAGACTATGCGACAAAAATACTCATTGTATAAGAATAAATATTTACATAAAACTTTTGATTAATTATTTGCAAATAATGACTACAAATTGTTAAATATTGTATCGAACATCACAAAAATTATATGTTTCAACATTTTATTTGAATATTTATTATAGAAATAAAAGAATAATACCTTTTTAATTGTAATTATAATAATATTGGTAGTAAAAGAACAACATTTTAGATAATAAAATTCAAAACTATATTTTTGTACTTTGGCCCGCGGGCCAACCCGTAACCCGGTGGGCCAACCCACTTAAATCCGCAACCCGTGTGGGCTGACCCGCGAAACCCGCGAACTAAATGGATCAGGAATTCTTAACCCTAACCCACCAATAAATGGGTTTAAACGGGTCGACCCGCGGGTTTGGGCCCATTTTGACTGCTCTAGCTTTGAGGAACAAATGGACACATTCACACCCCTATTTTATTTACCTTAGTCTGCTCGAGTAAGAATGTAGATGTATAATAAAGATACTAAAATGTTTGATTAGAAAAGACACTTCGTAGAAAAAAAGCATTTTTATATCAAAGACATTTATATAGATTTAAATTAAAAAGTTAGGTAAGAATAGGCATTTTTATTACATTCATATTACATTTTTATATCAAAGAAGATTTTCTATTTTTATTTACCTTAGACAATTTTCGCACATTTTGTTATAAAAATGCCATTTGTTATAA